GGTCGAGCTGATGGACAGCGAGGGCGGCTTCTTCGCCCGCTTTGGACTGGCTGATGGCGACTCGAGCGCGAGCAGGTCCTCCTCTTCCTCTTCCTCCTCGTCGTCGTCTCCGATGGCGAACGCGCCTGAGTTGTCGCCTTCGGCCGTCGTCTTCTCTGGTTCTTCCTCTGGACGTTTGTTCTGGGGGTGGTCCGGGTCGGCGTACTCGAAGCAGCGCCTGATGAAGGCGCTGACGCTGCCAAGAAATCTTTCGTTCGCCGAGATGCCCCCAAGGCTCGTCTCCGATGCGTTCGGGTTGCCCTGCACCGTGATGCCGTTTACCGTCGGCGTCGACGCGCCGGGGCTCAGATTGCCCTCGAGGCCTCGCCTCGAGAGGAACAGCAACGTCTCCGAGATGCGCAGGATGCCCTCCCGATCGACCTTGCCGTCACCGTCGTCGTCGTACAGCTCAAAGAAGTAGCTCATGGTGCCCATAATGTCCCTCTTGCCCCTGACTTGGGCGAGGCCCGAGACGACATTGGCCAAGGTCAGCTCGCCCTTGCCGTCGACGTCCCATTTTTTGAACAGTCGCTGCATGAACTCGTGGTCGGCAGGTTCCGGGCCCGTACCCCAGGGGTTGAGCAGTGCATCGTTCCGCTTCTGGGTCTCCGTGAACGTGTCGCGGCGGGGCGTGATGGGCGAGTCGGAAATAGCCCACTTGGACATGTTGGCAAGGAACTCCCGAAAGGCATCGTAGTCCATCATGCTCGTGCTCGGGCCGAGCGCGACGCGGCCCTTGTCGATAATCTGCTCATGGTTGTCCCGGAACGCGTCTTGCGCCCTGCCTCGGCTGTTTCGCGCTCGACGCTGCTTCTCGCCCTGAATGATGAGATCTCGCTGTTGCCTCTCGTACAGCATTGTGTAGAAGCGGTCGTAGAGCGCGCCCAGCTCCTCGGCGCTCAGGAGCTTGCTGTCGGGACCGAGGTTCCTGATGGCCGTCCTCTTGGTGAAGCTTTCAATGTTATTGAGAACCGCGTCCTTGTTCTTCAACCTCGACTCGGTAATGCTGTTGTGTGTGATTTGCGAAAACTCCTTGAAGGCCACGACCATGAGCTCCTGGAATTTGGTCACGCCCCGAAGCTTGGGGTTCTCCGACTTGGGATGCGCAGACTCGTCGAGGCGGGTGAAGTAGGACTTGAGGACCGAGATGAAGGCCCCGTCATCCGTCGCATCGAGAAGTTCCTCTCCGTTGATCCGCAGGATAGCCAGGCCAACCTGGAAAAGGACCTTGGGGCCCTCGACGAAGAAGACGTCGAGCACGCGGAAGGCAAATATGAGGGGCATCGAGTTGACGTAGAGGGAGAGGAACCACGGCAGGGACACGACGGACAGCTGCACGTCACTCTTGACCAGGTGCTCCCACAGAATGGGCATGGTCTGCTCAACAAGCGACTCAAAGACCTTCTGATCGAGCAGCGTGCCGTACATGGTGGTGGAGTAGTAGCCAGGAACCAGCCTGTCACAGAGGGAGGAGAGGAGGAAGAAGGCCTGTGCCTCCGACATGTAGATGAGCAGCGCGGCCACGACAATGTTCATGGCCTGGCAGTATCCGACGTCCGGGTTGACCCAGCTGTAGGCGGTCAGAACGCGACGCAGCCGGCCAATGCCCTCTGGATCCTGGAAACCGGGGTACTCGGGAAGACTCCGGTTGAGATCCTTCTCAATCTCGTCAATAGCGAGCGAGTCCTGTCCAGCATATTTCGCGAGCGTGTTTGCGAAGAGCTCTGGGTTCTCGAGCCGCAGGTAGATGGATCCAGACGTGAGCTCCCACATTTCGCCGCGCAGGCGATTCGGCAAGCCTACCCTGATGAGCTTGTGAAAGGTGGGCTGGCGGATGAGGGTGACGTTCCGGCCGTTGTCTCGCAGGTATTCCGCCCACAGCCGCATCTTGGCGCGGTCTCGCAGCTTCTTGGGGTCGCCAGGGTATCGGAAGAACATGCCGAGGCCGGCGTCGGGCGGGTTGGCGCCCTTCTTGTCGTCGGGGCGGAGCAGGTACTCGGAGTAGCACTGGCCGACGACGCTCTTCAGCTTGCCGACGTGGCCGACGGCGGCCTTGAGGCCCTTCTTGAGACCATCGCAGAAGCGCTCGCACGCCTGGCGGGTGCCAGCAAGATGTATGGTGATGCGCTGTTCTCGTACGTCCTTCTTGTCGCCAGCGGCGTCCTTGTCTTTTTCCTTGTCCTTGGATGTGTTGTTCGCAGGGATGCCGTTCCAGGTGGTGATGGCGAGGGCGAACTGGAAGGATTGGCTGCTCAGGCGCTCGACGCGCTTGATGGAGCAGAGAGGAAAACTGAAGCCGTTGCCTGAAGGGCCGCCGCCGTGGGTCTGGCCGGTGAAGGCGGAGCTCGTGGATGTGCTGGCGGCGTGGGAAAAGCTGGTGGGCGTCGTGGAGAAGCACATGTAGGCCTCGGACAGGTGCAGCTTGCCGGCGTAGTGGTAACCGCGGTCGTTGTCACGGTCGCCCTGGGTGGCGTTGGGCGGGGGGATGGTGAGCTCGGCATTGATCTCGTAGAGGGGGTTCTGGGAGCTGGGCAGGCGGAATTGGGCCTGGAAGAGCGAGGACTTGGAGGGGTTGCGATCCGAGTTGGACAGGTTCAAGCCCTGGGTCGGGTCGATGAACGCCTGGGCCCTCTGCACCAAGCTGGAAAGGTTCAACATGGTGGCGGGCTCGCAAGGATCAGCTGGTCATGTCGGTAGGGGCAGACGGGTTCTTGGGATCGGATTTAGAGGGATTCGTTGGGCGTGGACTGGATGAGCGGGATAGAGGTCGGCGTCGGAGGGGATCGTCGGGAATGGAATCGTTGGCTAGGAGAGAGGGGCGTAAGCGACGGATGCGGTGGGAGCAGTGTGTCGTCGGTGGAGACGTTTGTAACGACAGTCAAAGAGGAGTAGAGCAGAGGTGAGCAAGACGGGAGTCAGGACAGGCGTTTGTCGGATTGGGAATGCTCGTTGCGGGTTGCTGGTTCGAAATCGAGGGTGTTGCGTAGAATGGTAGCAGCAGTGGAGGTGATGGATGAAGATGTCTTGTCGTTGGATGGTCATGGGGGGGGGGGGGAGACGAGACCGAGAGAGGGTCAGCAGCTCCCACGGCAGCGGCAGCGTCAGCGGCAGCAGGAGCTAGGGAGCTCTCGGCAGTGGAGTGGAGGGAGCCTTCCTCCGTTCAGTTTGGGGGGCATGAGTAGGTGGTCTGGCGGGGCGCGTACCGTAGCAGCGCGAGGACGTAGGGGCCCTGGGGTGTGCCTTAGGGCGCGACCCGCCCAGCCACCATCGACGCAGTTCAACCGCTAGCTGGGCTGAAGCCTCAGGGGACCCTGCCCCTGATTGTGCCCCGAGTTTGTTCCCTCGCCGCGCCTTTGCACCATCCCTTGGGCCCTTCGTGGTGATTCACGTCTTCAAACACACACCATCGTGCCAACCACTGTTCCCTCTGCGAGTGCCTGAGCATCCAGGTTCCTCCGTACCTACGCAAGTTTCTTGCATGAGACACTTCACGGCCCCTCGCCATTCCTCTTCCATATCACCATGCCGCGCCATCCAGACAACCCCTCGTCAGCCTGTTGTTCCGAATCATTTGTATCAATTGCTGCCCATGGTATGATGGCACGTCACATGCGCTCCCAGTGCTTCCCTTCCTAGCCCTGCCTTGATGCTTCAGAAGCACGAAGCTCCGTGTCCGAGACCCAGAAAATAAAAAACTGGCCCCATACCCGACCGATCTCTACCAAAAGTACGCCAAAAACACCATACCCAATGATGCCGCTTTTTCCCCTCCGCGACGCCCAGCAGCTCTATCGTCTAGCCAAATGAGCCGGTG